GAGTGAAGTCAATCCAGCAGGGAAAGCAAGCCCACGGACACCGTGGCGAGCAGCGCTGCCTCTGCCTCCCTGAGCCAATTCCTCATGGACGCTAGGCATGCAGCATTAAGGACACACCTACTGGTCAGTGGGGATACTGGACTGTTTCCTCCGACGACTCAAGAGCATTTTTTTTAAAAGTCAACTCAAGATTTTTTTAGATACAAATAAATACCCAGAGAACCCTTAATTCTGAAGTCGCTGTGTTGGATGACCTTCTCTGGCTACCTAATTACCAATCACATTTTCCCGCTAACAGACTCCTCTGTGAAGCAGCTTGCAGAGGGCAGGGTTGTAGTTAGGGGATACAACATGATGAAATTTATCATCATTTCCAGTGGACTAAGATCCTGGTATTATAGTCATGAAACGGCCTTTCATTTCAGGGTTACATCTTTACACATGGACCTGATCCATGAAATAACTTTTCCTTTGCTGTATCATACCATTACAGGTGGTACATATGAATCAAACTCTCGGTTGAAGAGCTAAACTCACTATAACTGGGAAGGCTAACAGTAAGTTATGCTCACATGAACCAAGAGACTTGCACCCTTTATTTCAAGCATTTTTCGAAAACCTGCGAACACATTTCACACTAAAAGAGATAGTAGCAGCTGAGAACCTATCCTGGCTTTGGAAATGGGTTTGACTCAATCTTGGAAGACAAGCTGTGCCAGAAGCACCACGGACTAACCTGTTGTTTGCTTTTGTTTTTTGTAACTGCTCCTCCTGCCTCGCATACCACTCTTCCAGCTCCTTTACTGCTTTTTCTTTCCACTCTGCTTCTTGCTTCCGAGAGTTGGCATCTTTGAAAGAAAGGAAAACGACACAAATGAAACAAAGCCTGTGCAAATGTATATTGGGAGAACAGTGAGGAGGGAAGGAAAAATTCTATGTTTCCCTGTTTGTACATCCAGCTCTTGACCTCAGCGATTCTATCCAAGGTGTTTCACCACATTTTATCCCAGTCCACTGACACCATCACTAGTTGGTAGTTTTTTTTGTTTTTTTCTTTAGGGCTTTAGGAGGGGCGGCCGGGGGGTGGGGGGTGGCACAAGAGTGGAACTACTGACTTAATAGAAACAAGCTTTTGGGGGCACCAACTAGGGAAAAAGCAATCACAGATTTTTTTTTCTTTTTTGGTTAATCCTCATGGAGGATATTTTTTCCAACGATTTTTGAGAGGGAGGAAAGAGAACTGAAAGAGAGAAACATTGCTGTGAGAAAGACACATCAATTGGTTGCCTCCCACACATGCCCTAAGGGGATTGAAACCCCTGGCCAGGAATCCAATCCATGACCCTCTGGTGTGCAGGCTGACACTGTGACCACTGAGCACACTAGTTAGGGCTACAGATGATTCTTTAACAATGCGGCCAATATCAGTTCAGGGTTGGCTATTCATATTAGATAATCCTTTTTTTAAAATATATCTTTGCTTTCAGAGAAGAAAAGGGAGGGAGAGAGAGAGAGAAACATCAATGATGACAGAGAACCATTGATCGGCTGGCTGCCTCCTGCACGCCCCACACTGGGGAATGAGCCTGCAACCCAGGCATGTGCCCTGACCAGTAATTGAGCCGTGCCCTCCCAGTTCACAGGTTGACGCTCAATCACTGAGCCATGCCAGCCAGGCCATATTAGATAATCTTTTAACAAAATCTCACAATTTATATTCCACACCTGAGGTTGACAATTGTTCTATAAAACACAAGATGGCACTCTCTTAACTAAATATGGTAGAAGCACCTCTATGAAGCAGGATGCTATTAGGAAAATTACCAGAAGTAGAGAAGATTTAGGAACCAGGAACAGTAGAATATAGATGTTCGAGTTAGGAGGACTGCAAAATATTTATCCCTGCTTAGACTGCACAGTGAGTTTGTGACAGAGCTAAAGAGAAACTCCAGTGGAGCGAACTGCAGGGCGTTGGGGATCATTATTAGCAGTTATTCACAAAGGTTCCAGAAATTAGAGAAAATGCACACCCAGCAGGAAGTTTTTCGGGTTTAAATGTGGGTTTTCCTAACATTTAACTAAAATAAAGAGACACGTCAGTAGATAGTGGGAGAAAAGGCAGTATGTCACAGCCACTGCCGCAGTTGACACCTCAAGTTACCCAGATACTGCACTTGAAAACATGCTCTTAAGGACATCCTTTCTCACTTAATCTTTACAACAATCCCAAGAAGGTAAACTGTAGTCTCATAGTCAGCAATGAGAACAACTACAGCTCAGAAAGTGAGAAATCATTATAAAGGTTACAGTGAGTGACAGAACCAAGACTCAAACCCAGGTCTGGCTGTAAAGCTCACATATTCTTACTTCATTATGCTGCCTCCAGGGGCGGGACAGAAAGGGAAGCAAGCCAAGAAATAATCTTAAGATGAGACTGAAGGTGGTAGCCAGTGGTCCAGACTAACGTTTGGACAGTGTAGAGCCAAAGCCCACCCTGTAATTAGTATCCTCAAGGGGGAGAGTATAAAGCAATGGTGATGACAACCATTCAAGGGAAGAAATGAAGCATTTGAGGATATTTTAGGGACTTTGCAAAAAATGTCTTATAGAAACAACCTGCAGAAAGCAGTAACTGCTAGAAACAGCCTAAGAGCATCTAAAAACCCCAAGTTTCACATTATAAAAACTTTCACCCTGTTATCTTATCAGATGGTGACCTATTGCTCAGAGGATAATTATTTTACTCAGATTTTCCACTGATGACTCAGTATATAAACTTCTGGTGCATGTCTGTCCACGTCCCTAAGTGTATGCGGAATGGAGGGCGCTATGATGCAATGGGAGATGCTGAGGGTTGCCAGTGCCATGTGGGCAAGAAACTGGAAAATACTGTTTTCAAAATGTAAGGTCTCCTTTTCAAGACTGGTGAAATTACTTCCAAAAAATTGCCCTTTGATTGAGGAGTATTTTCTTTCTGTGTAGTCTGATAACTTTTTAAATGTTATTATATAGTAGGAATAAAATATCATGGAAATTTACTCAAATTTTTGTCTAAATAAAAACTGTTACCCTTTGTACAAACTAGGTTCTGCATAAAACAGTCCTTTAAATTGTCTTCTTTTACAGATTTATGAAGTGACACTGGCAATAAGAATTTAGAATTCTTAAACGTTTAGCTTGATGAGACAATTATCCAAGCCATAATACAATCTCTGAGTATGGACGAGAGAAGAGAGAGGGATAAAGAGTCCCCTTAGAAAGCAGGGCACACTGACAGCTGTCTTCTTTGGCCATCCTCATTACTATTCACAGAAAAGCAAATTACTTCACAACAGCCAGTAGCTAAGCTGCAAACCAGTGACACTTGGTTCTCTATTCTTAGTGTTTTGTGCCTTCTCACAGTTCTTGCAAAGAAAAAAGGTGAAAATGATGAAACACCTAGTTCATGGATCAATTTAATTCAGTTCAGTTAGAATGTAAGGTCAAATGTTTGACTTCCCTCAGGAAGATATCTTCAGTTAAGAAGACAATACACTTCATGGAATATTTCCCAAATGTTCAATTTGATAACTGAAGAAGAAAATGCAATTTTCACAGACACTAAAGTGAACACTCTCCACAAACAAGACAACTTTGCTAAACTTTGGGAAAAGATTAAGTTGGGTTCTGTAACATGAAAAATATCTAGTAGTAGCAATACCAGTTAAGTCCTGCCTCTAAGCCTACTAAGAAGAGATATACAAAGAATAGAGGCTGCCGGCACCATGAAGACCTATTTTCATCTACCTAAAGCTGTACCCTCCAGTAGAGTAGCTATTAGCCACATGCGGCTATTTAAATTTATTAAAATTAAATAGTTTCTCAGTCATACAAGCCACATTTAAAGTGCTCTATAGCTACATGTGGCTAGTGGCTGCCACACCGAACAGCACAGATACAGAGTAGTTCCATCACCGCAGAAATAACTAGTGGATAGTGCTGTAAAGGTTCAAATATAAGTGTGCCCAGTATTTGAGTCACATAAATTGGGTTGGAGAGGCAACAGATTTTACATTAATTGGCTGTGTTATCAGGGTCACAACCCTTCCTATTTCTAGGTGTCAGTTACACCATCTGAAAAATGAGTCATGTTTTTACGAATTCAGTGGTGTCTAGGAAGGAATAATGCTGACACTGTGGTTATAGAGAAGAATGTTATATTTCTACATTTACAATAAAATATTTAGGCATGAAGTATATGATGTCTGTCTCTTAAAATGGACCAGAAAAAGTATGTGATTGTATATTTACAATACACGTATCTTCTTTCAACTATTCTGTTTGAAATTTTAGTAAAAAGCTGAGGGGAAAAAAATACCCACACTCTGCCATAACTCTCAAACCCGCATACACAGATACCAACAGCTGACACTTCATGTACACAGAGAGCCCTTCACATTAGGCCGGGCTGGCTGGCGCTGATCTTAGGCTTGGCCTGCCTAACAAGATGGTGTATACTAAATGCAATGTGGCTGAAGGGATGGGTATGGACTCTGAAACAGGGCAGACTTAAACTGAAACTCGGACTCTACTTCTTATCTGTGTGATTAAAAAACTTATTCTACCTATGCTGTTCACTTTCCTTACCCATAAAAGCGTAAAAACTTACTTTCAGGGATATGAGGGTAAGAAAAACAAATTGTATGTTTTCTAACATAGCTCACATTTTCCTCTTAAGCGCTACTTCAAGTTTACAAAGCGCTCTCATAAATACCATTGCAGAATTCCCAGGGGAACACTGATCTTACTCCTCTCAGATGAAGAAACAGATTCTGCAAGGTTTGTGCAAGAAAGTGTGCACAGTTGGTAAGGGCTAAGGCTGAGCCTTGAACCCAGTCTTCTCACTCCACGTCCATGGCTCCCTTCCCTAGCACCACTCTGCTCTTCTTGAGAGGAGAGGATCTACTGGCTGCTTTCGGGCTGCCCTAATCCTTACACAATAGCCTGTCATTAAGGATCTCCACATGAGTAGCCTTGGGACCTTCAGGTTTAGAAAAATTATCATCCCAAACACTAGACAAGGGCATAATGGCTAATTCAAGTGAAAAAGGAATAAAAGGAGAGTCAAGGTCAACTATTCCACTGAAAACAGATACCCAAAGACAGAAAGGGATTCCTTACCAAGGGCTTCCAAGCGTTCCATTTGCTCTTCTCTCCATTTACGGATACTTTCAGGCTCTGATTGCAATCGATCCACTTGTGAAATAGCTGCGTAACTGTCTGTCGGACCATTACTCTCCTTAACACAAAACATAATTGTACTGTATCAGTACCAAAAACTCCTTCCTGAAATGCACTGCATCCAAGTTAGAACCCCTGGTTATGTACAGCACTAAAGATTGTAAAAATGTTGAAGGATGACCTTAATACCAATAACACAACCTGATAGGGAGCTTTCAACATTACCACACTTAATCCTTACAGCCCAGGAAGAAGGAGAGTAGCTGTTATCCTATCTGTTAATAAATGGGACATGAGTGGGAGATAGGAAAGTCAGGGAGGTGAGTAATGGAGTTACTGGGAAACAGTGTTATCAGTTTTGGTTTCCTGACTTGACACAGAGATTAGGTGATATTTTCAAAGTAACAAAGGTAAGTACATAGTAGAGCACGGCTTAGACCTTAAGACCTAAATGCTATTATACAGTGCAGGAAATAGGTCACTTAATACCACCTTCATCAAAATATAGTG